GGGGGGGGGGGGGGGGGGGGAGCAATCTCTGAAACTACGAGCATCCGTTGCTGTACTTTAAAATCAACAATCGTGGCAAAGAGGCACAATCCAAATCTACAGATGTTGATATAATGTACATTTTGTGTTATGGTGCCAGCAAAATCCCCGAGCGGAGACACGGCCTCTTGTTCAACGGAGAAAACAAGACGTGGTGGTGGGCAAAGTACTCGATTCTTGCTTGTGAATTTGGTGACTATTCAAAGGTCTCCATGTCTGGCGCGATTGAGAACAAGCCGTAAAACAAACTACGGATCGGTCCCCGTACGTCTATGTGCGAAGCCAGACAAAGGTTGCCGTATAGTTGTGCGCAAGCTGAACAAACGTTTTGCATCCCAAATCGGCGTGGTCTGTCAACTACGAAGCATGTAGAGTAGTAACGATGGGGTTCGAAGGAGGGCTTACCTTGAACTAATTCGAATTGATTTGTGGTTTCAATGCAATATCGAAAAAAAAGTATCCGCTGGGTTCTCATGCATTCTTAGGTCTTTTGTGTACCTCGACGGTAAAAGAAAAACTAATTTAAACCGCGCAGCAAATCCGATCTACGTTCACTAAACAACCGCCCAGAACGAACCATACGTCAACACTAAACACGAACTCGCCGGTAAGGCTCCACTGCGGAAGCATGCCCGCTCCAAGCTGCCCACGGATCCACCCTTCACCAACCACTGGCGGATGAACGAAGCTGGAAACAGAGCAATCGTCGTGGCGGCCGTGGTGGCGGGCGAAACGGTTGTGCGCCAATGCACGCGAAGACACCAAGTACCCGTGGGGCGGTACCGCCTGCCGCGGATGATTCGGCATTTGCGGGGGGTGCGGCCGCAACCGGCGCCATGGCGTCGACGAGAAGTGCGCCTCCGACGAGACGCGCGGCGATGAGGGGCGTTGGCCTGCGACGTAATCCGAAAGATAGGATTGATATCTTGTCAAGTCGGGAATGTAGGGCATACAGTATGGGGAGAGCGAACTATGGGTGGGGGGAAGTGCCGGGTTCGCAAACGCGCAGCTCTCGACTGTTTTCCGTGCCAAACAAGGCCCTACATTTTACAACTCAATGGAGAGCCTGGAGATCTGTAACAAGACTCTGGCTACACGTCTCCATACAGCAGAGCAAGCCAATCTTTTCTTTTCGCGACACATCTATTTACCGGACTGGAGGTCGCATGCCGAGCACTTGTGCTGTCGTTGTCGCTGCCGTCGGGTGTCGTCTCCTCTGACTCGTTGTCATCGTCGGTAATGTCTTGGTCTCCGTGCTGGTCGGTGGCGCCCGAGGCGCCGCGCTGCGACCAAAGGCACGTGAAGAAACAACCCACTGTGAGCCTTGTAGTCAAATTGAGTTAATAGGACATCGGGTACCGCTAAATAATGGTCTGTGGTCACGATCTGTGGTCATTTACTACTGGCGATGATCGACATAGTTTCGGAGAAGTTTTTCTCACCGGGCGTGTCTTGTCCCCCGTTTCGACGCGGCCAAAGGGAGCAGTCGCGATGCGACCGATCACACCTCCTACTCCACTGAAAACGTCCAAACCGCCGTGCGAATCATTTCGACCCCCCTGCGAACGAAGCCGTGCGGAGCCGTAGAGCCAACCCTAACCGTGGTCTCCTCCGTCTCCATCCCAGTCCCCACCCCCGACCCCACGTGTGCTCCCGCCGCGTCCTCCATGGCCTCGTTCGTCTCCTTCCCCTCGCCATCTCCTTTCCCCACGTCGTCCGCCTCTTCTCCACAATCCAGCGAGGTGTAAATGTTGGCGGTATCAAAGTTGGCAAATAGGCTCGAGCCCTGTACGGAAACAACAAAAAACGCTTCCCATCAGAACACCTTGTCGATTCTATACACGCGCAGCATGACATGCTTAGCCTGTCGACGTTGAAAAGCTTGCGTAAATCGTACACACCTTGTCGATGGCCCTGCTTCTCTCGACGCGCCCATCCATGCCGCCGCCGCCACCACCACCACCACCTCTACCCGCGGTCGTTGGGCGCCTATTTTTTCCCACGAGAACCCAGCCGTCTCCACCCTCCTTGGCTGCGGCCGGCTTCCTCGCGGCGGCGGGCTTCTTGACCACGCGAGGCGCCTCGGCTGCGACAGCCTCCTGGGGGGGGCGTGGACTCCTTGGCTGGGGCGGCCTCCTCCGGGGCGGCGGGTTCCTCGGGGGCGGCGGGTTCCTCCGGGGCGGCAGGTTTCTTCGCTGTGACAGGCTCCTTGGCTGCGGCGGGGTCCGTGGCTGCGGTGGGCTCCTCGGGGGCGGCCGCCTCCTCCGGGGCGGTGGGCTCCTTTGCTGCCGGCTGCGGTACGTCCTGGAACACGGCCTTGAAGTGCCCAGATGGGTGCCATATCGCCATCGGGGAATGTTGCTGCAGGTCCTTCGCGCCGCAGCACCGAACGAGTTCCCCCTCTTTCGTCGCCTTCACGAGTCTGAAGTTTTCTAGACCTGATACGACAGCCGCGGCCTCCATGTGTTTCCCGTCCCAATATCCAGCTTCATGTTCCGCCACCTTCACCCATGTCTCCCATTTCAAGATTAGTAGGAGAGGGTTGGTCAACAATTCTTCGATGGGGCTCTCCTGTACTTTGGCGGTGCCAAAGGTGAAGTCGCCAGTAAATTGCCCACGCTCCACTGTGGGGTGGATCTGTGCCGGTCCGAGGCTGGCTACGTCGCGGCGAAGTTTGCGGATGCTGGCGAGTTGTTCCCGTTCCACGCGGGCTGTTCCGGGGGGAATCCCGGACTCGATCCGACGAAGATCGGTGATGGTGTGCGGACCACAATCCCCCCCGCCAGGGTGGGGCCACGCTCTAAAGGGCGTGCCATCCCTTAGGCGATACATTGTTCACCNCCAGTAAATTGCCCACGCTCCACTGTGGGGTGGATCTGTGCCGGTCCGAGGCTGGCTACGTCGCGGCGAAGTTTGCGGATGCTGGCGAGTTGTTCCCGTTCCACGCGGGCTGTTCCGGGGGGAATCCCGGACTCGATCCGACGAAGATCGGTGATGGTGTGCGGACCACAATCCCCCCCGCCAGGGTGGGGCCACGCTCTAAAGGGCGTGCCATCCCTTAGGCGATACATTGTTCACCTGACATTTTACAAAAAAAAAAAAATGAGAACGGGGTGTGTAGTTCAATGTAATTTATTTTGCTGTCTGTGCTACATAGTATTACCTTGACCTTTGACATGCAACAAAACTAGCCCACACTACCATAGGAAGTTGTAATGTGGACGACCGTGTAACGGCAGAACTAATTAATGAATGTGCATGATTGATTTCGTCATGCCACCAAAAATATGACACGCCTATGTACGTTGTCTGTAGGTACCTACAGCAGTAATGTGGTACCTGGTACTTTTTTTTCACAAGTCTAGACTATGAACAGCAGTAGTATCGCCGTACATGTACAGTGCCCGACCTCTTCATGGGTTGCCGAAAACGACAACCAAAAGATACCCTACTGGAGACAGCTATCGACAGTCCACAGTGCACTGTGGATGGGAGCGTGGCAGCTGTTCTACTGCTGTTCTACGCTTCATACGTAAACAATGTATGTACATCATCCAAGATATGTACAGCAGCGCTTGCATACCACCGACCGTTGATAAATTCAAATTCAAATTCATTCATGCTACATGCGCTTTGTTGGCGTACTACATATGTAAGTGCTGCTGCTGTGAGCATGTTGGACAGGAACAACCCTTGTGCTTGTCACATATCAGCACTCGGGTTACTCGTCCCAAGGTGCCGAGCTATACAACAGCTGCAGCGCGGGTGTCAGGGTGCTATTGCGCGCGGACACTTGAGGATGGATGCGGACGCACACGTGGATCTACAGCACACAAAACAGCTAACAAACGACCCGCGAAGCCTCTGCCACCATAGCCCCACTCCCTAGCACTGCCTCCATGGTCTCCTTCCCACCTGAGTCCACACGATTCAGCTTCAGGCCAACGGTCGGCGTTCAGGACGTTCTCTCCAGCGGTCAAGATAGAGCCGGACACAAATAACGGNTTGGACAGGAACAACCCTTGTGCTTGTCACATATCAGCACTCGGGTTACTCGTCCCAAGGTGCCGAGCTATACAACAGCTGCAGCGCGGGTGTCAGGGTGCTATTGCGCGCGGACACTTGAGGATGGATGCGGACGCACACGTGGATCTACAGCACACAAAACAGCTAACAAACGACCCGCGAAGCCTCTGCCACCATAGCCCCACTCCCTAGCACTGCCTCCATGGTCTCCTTCCCACCTGAGTCCACACGATTCAGCTTCAGGCCAACGGTCGGCGTTCAGGACGTTCTCTCCAGCGGTCAAGATAGAGCCGGACACAAATAACGGAAGATACCACACCCCCTCGCTTAGCTTTGGTCCAAAGTTTTGACCTCCTAGAGTTGGTCAAATCGCCCGGTGCTTGGAGGGTGTTCTTCTTGGTGGGTTAGGTATCGAAAACACCCTGCTAAAAATTGGGATCGGCACTACAGCCGAAGGTGTTGCAACGTTTCCGTCATTTGCTGTGGCTAAGCAAGAATTCGGGACCGCCCCCCCCCCCCCCCCCCCCCCCCCCTCCNCCCCCTCATTTTTTTTGTCTGGAAAAACAAGCGAAAAATAGCCGTACGGAGTCCCCGGCAACACGTGTGAGAGGCAGATCCAGGATCGTGATGATGCCACCCGCTGCAGCTGCACGCCTGGCCACCTCGCTGTTCCTCGCGGGGTGCTCCTCTTCCCGCACTTCGGGCTTCCGCGTGCATGCACTCGCCAGCTCGGCGATCATCCGGGTGCGTACATTTTCTTCTAGTGTAGAGCATGCTGTAGATTCCACGTTGTGGGCCGCGGCCGAGCGGTAGCGCTGTTGTACCCATGATTCACAGGCACTCTTACACACGCACCGCACACAGCAGTAGCTCGTAGCTCGCTTTCATAAGCAGCAACAGCAGTGCATCTATAGCAGTAGCAGCAAAAACTGAACAATCACCGTGGTCGTTTTTTCGGCGGGACTGTGAATTTTGAATTCCACTCTCTCCTTTAAGTAGCTCCGCCTCGCGCCCGCTCGAGGTTCATATTTTTGTGCTGGGGCGCCGCATCATATTTGGCATTTCCTGTAAATAGGAACTACTTGGTTCCCTCTCAAATCATATCTTGTGGGATTTCAATTTACGTGTAGGTTCAACCGTGGTGTGGGAGATGTAACTCCCCATTCAAAGCTAACCAGTGGACGGGACCTTGGTGGCCCCTAATAGAGGGAGCATGTCCTCCACCTCCGTGCTCAGTCTACCTTTGAGAGCAAGGCAACAGCAAGCACTGCTGTTCCTTGCAGAGATAAATGTACAAGTTAGTCTTCATCAGGGTGTTCAGGGATTGCTACGCGTGTACGTGCAGTAATCCCAAAATACATGGTAGACTATGTCTCGAAGTAGAAAAAAAAACGACGGCGTCACACCCACAACACACTTGTTTGCATCCATAAGATAGAGACGTGGTGGAGATAGATGCATAAGATCGTCCGCCCCGTATGTCTTGACTAGAGCTATGCATACATGCGTAATGGGATCAGAGATATTTCATCGAGAGACACATGACACACAGTGTTGGAAATCAGAAATGCTCTGCTTCTCCAGTCACGGAACACACACATACCATCCCACCAACGAGCATGTACAAATACCGTCCCATCCCATTCCATCCCTCTACCAGTGAGAAACGTAGATCCCATTCCATCAAAGCTGATGGTATGCCTAAATATTTTCCTGCCTGCGGCGGGTTTTGTCTACCATCACCATGCCACGGGGCGACTACATCGTCACGTAAGCCCTGAGAAAATTGGTTCGGGAGGGTGGGTGGTGTCTTGTGTCATCTGCGGTATACAGCACCGCCGGGTGGGTGGTGTCTTGTGCCACATGAGGCGATTCATTCCGTCATTCGTTCATCTTTGTGCCGCAGAAAGCAGCGGGAGCGGCGGCAGGAGGGGTAGGGGGGGCGCCGCCACTGTCTGTTCCGCGGGGCCCCGGTCCCGGAGTAGCGGGAAACGCGCGGAGCCTTTCAACGGCAAAAATGCACGCAAACAGGCCTAGCTCGTTGTCGTCGGGAGGCCATGCGGAGGTATGATCACGTCCTTGAAGGGCGGCAAGTAGGAAGTTGGCGACAGCTCTTTCGAAGTATTATTCTGTTGAGATATGCATGTACCAGGTATGTTTTTTTGTTCGGAACCTCCATCTCTCCCTTTAGGTCACACAAATCATCCGAAGAATACTGCGGAGGTACGAAGACCCCCGCGGCATCTTCGTTGTAATGTTGTAATGGGGACGGGGGCCACGCCGTCTTGAGAATGGGGTGTGGTCAATCAACGGTCGAACGCAAACACAGGAAATAGCGTGTGAGCCACCCCCCAACACAGACATCACAGATGGACGTACCTCCCCTCCCCTTTCCCAACACACAAGCAAGAGAGCAAACAGAGGGCATACAGGTGCCAGAGGCAAGAACCCAAACACAACCATGACAGTTAGGCCCCTTCCCCCGTAACGAAGGTGATACGCTGGAAACGGAGAGTCTAGACGGGTTCAAGGAGAAGATGTCTGTCGCTCTTGCCGAGAGAATAGAACATAATCTATCCAAAGAAACCAAGTATTAGGAGTGTCTAGATGTGTACTGAATGTTGAAAGAAGGAATTCGGTTCAAGGAGTACCTACATTGACCAATGGATGCAGGGACAAAGCTGAAGGTCAAAACTAGGGCAGGGAATATTGGCCTTCGAGAACGTAAACGAAGATTTCGGAAGGTAGACGACGAAGACGACAAGTTCAAATGTGAATGCGGCTCCGGGTGCGAAGACCGGGTTCATGTAGTTGGGGAATGTCCGTTGTACAAGAGGGAGAGGGACGTCTACGTGACTGAGGTGGGACAAGTAGAAGGAAGATACAGGGAGGTGTTTGAGGCATGAAATAGCCAGGAGAAGACGGTAGCTTTGCTGCGACATAGGACGTGGGTTGAAAAGGCGGGAAGTGAAATCGATAGGATAGATAGGCTAGGGGAGACATTTTTGACCACCTTCGGCAAAGTAGGCAGGAACGATTGGCCATCGTTGATCGGTGCTGTGGGAACAGTGCTCCGTACTCTCGAGGACGCGTGGTCACTGACCTAACCGCTAAGGCATGCAAACCATAAGAGCAGTAGTGGACCAGTACACATACCTCGGAGTAGAGATCGCAAAAGACTGCTCGTGGAATGCACACATGTCCAAGGTAGCGGAAAAGGGCAAAGCACGAGCAGGGA